AACTTCCATTTTTATTCAAGTTATTTTTCTATTCAACTTCGTTTTTTATTTAATTTCCAAATAGATCGTTATGGTATAGTGGTTTCGTGAAAGAACTTCTATTTTTATTTCTATTCAACTTCTTTTTTTCTTCATTCTTTTTTTCTATTCAACTTCCTTTTTTATTTAATTTCCAAATAGATCGTTAAGGCATAATGGTTTCTTTAATGAACTTCGACTTTTAATTTTTTGCAACTTCCATTTTTTTTATTTAACTTTCATTTTTGTTCTGGTTTCTTTTCTACTCAACTTGCTCTTTTATTTAATTTCCAAATAGATCGTTAAGGTATATTGGTTTCTGGATTGAACTTCCATTTTTAATTTTCTGCAACTTCCATTTTTATTTTTATTCGATTTCCATTTTTATTCAAGTCATTTTTCTATTCAACTTCCTTTTTTATTTAATTTCCAAATAGATCGTTAAGGTATAGTGGTTTCTTGAATGAACATCCAATTTTCATTTTCTGCAACTTCCATTTTCATTTCTATTCAACTTCTTTTTTTTTTTTTCAAGTTTCTTTTCTATTCAACTTCATTTTTTATTTAATTTCCGAATAGATCGTTAAGGTATACTGGTTTCTGGATTGAACTTCCATTTTTAGTTTTATGCAACTTTCACTTTTATTTTTATTCAGCTTCCATTTTTTTTCAATTTACTTTTCTATAAAACTTCCTTTTTTTTATTTAATTTCAAAATAGATCGTTAAGGTATAGTGGTTTCTTTAATGAACTTCCATTTTTAATTTTATGGAACTTCCATTTTTATTTTTATTCAGCTTCCAATTTTATACAAGTTATTTTTCTATTCAACTTCCTTTTTTATTTAATTTCCAAATTGATCGTTAAGGTGTAGTGGCTTCTTGAATGAACTTCCATTTTTAATTTTCTGCAACTTCCATTTTATTTTTATTTAACTTCCCTTTTTTATTCAAGTTTCTTTTCTACTCAACTTCCTTTTTAATTTAATTTCCAAATAGTTCGTTAAGGTATAGTGGTTTCTGGATTGAACTTCCATTTTTAATTTTCTGCAACTTCCATTTTTATCTTTATTTAACTTTCTTTTTTATTCGAGTTTCTTTTCTACTCAACTTCCTTTTTTATTTAATTTCCAAATAGATCGTTAAGGTATAGTGGTTTTTTAATGAACTTCCATTTTTAATTTTAGGGAACTTCCATATTTATTTTTATTCAGCTTCCAATTTTATACAAGTTATTTTTCTATTCAACTTCTTTTTTTATTTAATTTCCAAATTGATCGTTAAGGTGTAGTGGTTTCTTTAATGAACTTCCATTTTTATTTTTATTCAGCTTCCAATTTTATACAAGTTATTTTTCTATTCAACTGTCTTTTTTATTTAATTTCAAAATAGATCGTTAAGGTATAGTAGTTTCTTTAATGAACTTCCATTTTTAATTTTAGGGAACTTCCATTTTTATTTTTATTCAGCTTCCAATTTTATACAAGTAATTTTTCTATTCAACCTCCTTTTTTATTTAATTTCCAAATTGATCGTTAAGGTGTAGTGGCTTCTTGAATGAACTTCCATTTTTTATTTTCTGCAACTTCCATTTTTATTTTTATTTAA